TGGTGACGGTGACGAGGTTGGTGGTGACATCAGTGACCACCACATCTTTGCAGCTTGGTGCCATTTCAGGGTGCCAGTCTGGGTCTCCCTCAGCAGGCACCCTTTTCGGTTCAGTGGGGGAAGGTCTCTGGTCCCCAGGGGTGACAGAGGGAAGTGTGGTGGGCACCTGGCGTTTAGCCCTACGTTGGCGTAGACTTTTCCTGCTTCCCTCTGTGGGCGCTGAGCTGTCCACAGCACCCTCCTCCTCTTCATCTTCCAAGCAAGATGAGGGTGAGGAGGGGAGGAAGGGAGATGCTGATGCCACAGGGTCTGCATCTGAGGACGGGGCAGGAGCAGATGGCTTGGCGCTCGGGCCCTTCTGGGTCTCTGTGTGAGGTTTACTGGGCTTGGGACCCTCGCTGGAAGGTGAGGTTCTGTTGGTGGGCTGGGACTTTGCAGCTGAGGTGGTGCTGGGAGATTTTCCTTCAGAGCCACTGGAGCTGGAGGGAGAAGGAGGTGACTGGTACTGAGAAGGGGTGGTGTGGCTGTCCTTGGCCCCTGTGCTTGAGCATGACCCTGGTTGGGAGTGGAAAGGTACTGGGCCTCCACACTGCAGCCCAAATGGCTTCCCGTACATCGGGAACCCCAGCATCTTCAGAGGAGGTTGGAAAGGTCTATAGGGGGCCTCTCCCTTTTTCCCAATGATGCGATTGCGGGAAGGGATGTTCTGGCGTCCTGCTGTAATATTTCTACTGCTTGCAGCTGTGCCACCCCTACCTGGCTTGTCAATGACCTTCAGGTTAAGGATGATCCGACCTCTCTTGACTTCCCGAGGTTTGACTCTGCGGTTGAGGATGCGGACCGTCTCAGAGAAGGGGGAGACGTGCATGCGGGAGGGGAAGCCACTGGGGTTGGAGAATGTAGGCGCCATGGGATCTGATCGAGGCAGAGGGCGTCTGGACATCCGGTGGCATCGGTGAATGTCTTTCTTCAGCTTGTGAGTGGCAGCTAGAGAGTTGAGTTTAGGAGAGGGTGCAACAGTTGAGGAGGAGGAGGACAAAGATGGTAAATGATGGGGTGAGGCAGAAGAGGAGGGAGCTGCTCGGCTGGAAGTAGACGAAGAGGACCGGGGTGTGTTCTGGCGGGAGTTTGAGGCTCTGCTGCTGGTCTCTCCTTTCTGAGAACGAGCCTGAAAGAAACCAGGACCTCACTGACATAGCTATTAAAACGCTGCTGGAACAACAATGTTATGTGATTTCAATGCCAGGAACTGAAATTAGCTCAAATTTAGTTTACTTTTAATCTGGTCTTTTGACCTGAAAACCACAAAGTGCTGTGCTTACTGGGAGTAGGAAGCTGTGTTTAGATGACAGCTAACCAGAAAGTCCAGGAATAAAGCTACTGATCAACTATTTGTGATTAAAATGACAACTCTCCATTGTTGCTAAATGATCCTAAAGTGCCTGTGCAGCTCAAACTACACCTTTTATAAAGATTGTTTGGCTCAAAAACACACAGCAGGTCATGTTGGTTACCCAAACTTTTTTATTCAAACTTTTTTTTTTTTTTTTTTACACCCTGCTCCAAGTTGATTTGTAAAAATGAAATGGAAAAACTAAATATTACAGCATCAGTGCATCCCCACAGTGCTTATTTCTAATCACATTATGTTCTATAAACAAGACACACTGTTGTGCTCCTAACAGTGATACATGTTCCAAGTACAAGAATTAAAATAAACTCAGAAGCTCATATCCATGTAAATATGCAAATATCTAAAAATATACCTTCATAACAAAGTTTTTGGGCTTTGGTCCCCGTTTCTTCGGTCCATGCAATTCCCTTTCCCGTTCCCTAAGAAAAGGAAATGGCAATTCAGTTAGAAGACAGGCCAAAAAAATGAACGAGACAATGTGAACAAATGAACTGATTCAAAATAGAAGAAGACAGTGATGAAAGTTGTAGCACGGAGCAAAGCAAAAACTAGGGCACAGAGCATAGACAGCAGGCTCAGCATATGAAGCCATGTATGCACACACCCAGATTATGACTCGTGTCGCCACTAGTTTCCCATTTGATGTCATATTAGTTGTGTCTGTTCTATGGTATACATTTTAGTTTTCCTGTCCAATTCAGTTTACTGTAAACAACAACAACTGTTTGTAAACACTACAAGGCTTTCAAGGCTTGGCTTCAGACATAAAGAACTTCAGCTCACATGAACTTTTTGCCATCAGACAAAAGGTGAATGTAAAAACACCAAGTATGCGAAATCGGCAGCAAGCACAAGTACAGTAAAATACACAGGAGTTCTGTTTAAGTACAGACATGCAACAATATACAAAAAGAAGACTAAGCTGTTGGAAACCAAAATCCTAAATATTTAACCACTGACAAACCCAAACAAGCACATACAACCCTGCGCAAAATAAGATGTACATTTTGCATAAAGTGTATGTACACTCATTATTTACCAGGTTTACTCACTTTTGCTCAAAGCCCAGTATCAGCCTGTCATCCAGAATATTCTCTTCTGGCTCCCAAGTGCTGTGCCTGAACAAGGATGGAGTAACATGAAGAAAACATTTGACCATCAATGAATTTCACACCAAGCTAGATTTAATCCACAAAGATTGTTATGGGTTGTTAAGAACGGCACTTACTTCATTGCCCATCCTTTCCACTTAACCAGGTATTCGATTCTTCCCTGTGTAAAAAAAACAACAACACAGATGGTGGATTACCAAACACAGCTCGAGCGTAACAAAAGGGCCATGCAACTTTGAAAGAAAAAACATATCCATTAAATCTGGCATACATTTGCAGAAGCATCCATTGAGCTGTTCAGGCTTTAGTCTTAATATTAATATACATTTGGGACTTCCTGGGATTTTGTTTCATCCTTTACATATAGCACATAAATAAATTCCTGCATGTGTCTCATACAACACAGCACCATTTTAATGTTTCAGTCCAGGAGACTCCAACTAGGGTCTTGTCAGGTTCTACAGTATTGGAAGTTAGCAGGCATTTCAGAAGTAACGGGATCTGCTGGTTAACAGTATATACCAACTACTTACGATGGTATCCTGCATGTATTTTAAGGGACTCTCCAGTGTGCACTGCACTAATAAAATACTGAGAAACTATCAGAACTCCTTCGTGATAGACTTCCTCTTCAACAGCAGATGAGAGGAAGGGCCAATCTTTTGTGAACCATCTTTCACACCCTGCAGAAGCAACAGCCGCCACAGTCTTTAATGTGGGTGGAACGTG